TTAAAATATAATTATAATAAAATATAATTATAAAATATTATAATAAAATATAATTAAGAATATAAAGTTAAAAAGATGGATATGGCATATCGAAATGCTGTTCAGCTTCACGTCGCCAATCAATTAGAATACTTTTTGGAATACAATGAGAGGCCGCGATTTCAAATAAATGATGATCCATTTCAACTCTCAGAACGACAATTCGTTAAACTCTTTCGATTAAAAAAAGATACTACAATCAGACTGATAAATATTGTAGAAGAACATTCAGCAGTACCATTACGAACTTCAGTTTTGAATGCTACTGTACAGGTGAGCTTAGATGAAACATGCGGAATGAAATTGATTGTAATAAAAAATGTATGATTTTTTTTAAGGTTTTAACTGCATTACGTTTTTATGCGTCTGATAGCTATCAAAATTGCGTTGGAAGTAATGTTCATATGCGTATCAGTCAAACATCAGTCAGCCGATGCATTCATAACGTTACTAATATTCTGAACTTACCAGAAGTATTTAACACATGGGTGTACTTTCCTAATAACATACAGGAATTACAAGAGATACGTAACAAGTAATGTATCTAGTCTATAATACATACCTTGATAGCAAACTGATATCAAAACGATGTTTTTTGATGTCAAAGGGTGTTTTCCAGCAAGGATACAATCAGACACAGTGTAACACAGTGAATCGTTTCCTTGTTTAACGTAAGCAAACAACAAGGATGTAATGATTTACTGTGTTACACTGTGTCTAACTGTGTCCTTGCTGGAAACCACCCAAAGTGATATATAGCTTACTATCAGGGTATATTCATTTTATTAAGATTTTGGATAGAAAAGCGTTTTCCTGGAGCAATTGGATGTATAGATTGCACTCACATTGCAATATTCCCACCTCCGAAAGGAGATGCAAATTATCCTGAACATAACTATGTGAATAGAAAAGGATATCATTCTATCAATGTACAATTGGTAAGAAATAATGCAAAGAGATAATTATACAAATAAGATAATTACAATTTTATTTGCAGATATGTGATCCTGATCTTAGAATTTTGAATGTTAATGCTCGATATCCAGGAAGCACTCACGATTCGTACATTTGGAATAACAGTAATATTCTTCCATTAATGCGTGATATTTACAATTGTGGACATCAATTTTTCTTACTAGGTTTTATGCAAATTTCTAAATAGTAATTACATATTGTTCCCAGTTTTAATCTATAAGATTATATTGCCTGTTAACTTACAGGTGATTCCGGTTATGCGCTGAGACCATGGATGATGACTCCAATGTTAAATGATGAACAAAATGATGCAATATTAAGATATAACACTCGACAAATAAGTACTAGATCATTAATTGAATGTTGTAATGGTCTATTGAAGATGAGATTTCGTTGCTTGTTCAAGCATAGAGTCTTACATTATAAACCAGATTTCTGTTCGAAGATCATTAACGCTTGTACAGTACTGCATAATATGTGCATTCATGACAAGGTACCTGTACCTGAAGGAGAAGGTGATTTATTAGACTTTGCTTGGGATGATGTAGATCCAATACGTGAACCAGACATAGGTGCAGCAAATAGAAATCCTGAATTGTCAGCTGGGCGAAGAGTTCGTGATAATTTAATAAGACGATACTTTCAATAATACAATACTTCTCTAGAATTTTATTAATATTTAATATTTTGTAAAAGGACAAACTGCGATAATGGGATTGATAAGGACTAATATTTCATAATAAAAGTTTATATTTGTGCAATTATCTTTTTTATTTAATGCAATAATCTTTTTTATTTAAGTCAACAATTTCAAATTAATTTTTATTTACGTCAACAATTTCAAATTAATGCAAATAACACTTGTTTTCTTATTTCTAAAAACTCAATGATATATACCTACTTTGTACTTCAATTTTCTTACATAACACGTAGTAATAAAAAATAATACTTTCACGGTGACTATTGTGTCTTTGCAAAATGCTTAAAACTATTCAAAACGAAAAATATCGAATATAATGACTTCAATGGAGTAGAATCTTGCATTACTTCTTGATTGTCACGTTGTACAGAATTTTTCACAATTTCTTCGTCATGTGATAGGTACTCCACATTACATACTTCTGGTTCATCATTCCAATCCTACAACATAAACATTTTATTAAAACTGTAGAAGTGGTTTAAATAACAAAAATCAATAAAAAAGCGCATGTAGCCACAGCACAAGATGTTTTTGTGAAGTCATATATTTAAACTCATCATAACAGCTAATAAATTTTTCGCAGACGTTTCGGTCAGAATCTGATCATCTTCAGTACAATAATTTTCAATTGATTGAATAAGTAGCTAAACATAATATAAATCCAACGAGAAGTCAATTTTGAAGCAGTCGCATTTTATCATATAGAATAGTAGTTATGTAATATCTTGTGCTCCTTTTTATTGATAAACATTTTATTAATAATAAAAATTTCAATTGTTATTGTCAGAAGCTAACACATGAAAGCGACATGTAGATAGATCAATAAAAATAAAAATGAAATTAAAATTTTCTTAAGACGAATATTAAGTTTAATAATAAGGTTGCTTACAAATTGCACGTTGGATTCCTGTGTTGAATTATGTCCCTCCACAACAGTTGGACCAATAAGTGTTAAAATATTTTGATCTATTTCTGTTAAGACTTGACTTGAGGCAGGTCCTCCACCAGTACCTTGAGCATGTTTCTTGATAGAAGTATTTTTGGCTTTAGTTGCACTTCGCATATCTTGCCAAGTCTATATAGCAAAGAAAACTTATTTAAATACATTACTGTTTTACATAATAAATAGTGAAAAAATTTCTCTGATGCAGTTTCTTTACAAATAAATTTTTGAAGATAACATTTAAATAACTTCTACTTTTTCTGTTATTTGGGCTGATATTTTTTTGTAAAATTAGTTTATAGAGAAAATACGGGGTAATTCTTTCACAAGATGATTCTGTAATGTAAGGTTAATTCAATGTATGTATACCTTTCTCCACTTATTCCACTCTTTTACTGCACCAGGTATCTGATGTAATTGTGCTGTTACTTCTTCCCATAATTTTTGAGCATTTTTATAAGTAAAAGTGGCAGAAAATTTTCCACTTTGTAGCTCAGGATGTTTAGTCATGAATTCTAAAATTCAAAAATACATATTACGAAATCTCAATAAGCAAGGATGGATTGAGACGGATTCTTCAGAAAAATGTATTTGCGAACGTTAAACGAATTCTTTTCGATCCGAATGTATTTTTATTCTTTTATACAATTATCAAGCAGTTCTAAAATACATTATGGTCAATTGAAAAATATAATTGTAAGTCTTTAACCTATTTCAATGCGTTCTTGTTCGCTGCGAAGTCACTTACCAATTAAAACATTTTTTTGTTCATCATTTATGTATGTGCATCGTTTCTTTACTGATGTAGTTGTTTCCATTTTGATTTTCTATTACTAATTATTAACATACACTTTTAATTACTATTGCAATTTACATTTCATTATCTTGAAAAACTGTGAAAAACTCGACACAAAATACGGTTTATTACGTGGCTGATTCTTATATATCTCGATCGTGATTGGTTATTATATTATTTCAAAATCTGGCAACGCTGTACGACAATCGTATACGAGATTTATCACATATAGCATATCGCATGGCAATAAATGACTGTAGAAAATACGATTCCGAAATCGAATGCGATACGGACCATGCGATATTTTTCTCATACGATAAATATCGGATAAGTTCAAGAATCGACTCCCAGAGCCCGTTTCTACCATTTTTGCCTTAATCTCCAGTTTAGCCAAACTTTCGTTAAAACTAAACCTAGATTTGGCGCTGATTGGTTTCTACAACCGTTACAATGCAAACGTTTAGCTAAACTTATAACCAATGTGTCATAACTTAAAGAAATGACTAAATCTCAGTCGTTGATTGGTCCAATATTGGTTCTAACAGTATTGTACGGCAACGTGCAGCATCGTGTTATGTGAATACTCGTGTAAGGAACATAACGTTACAAATTAAATTAAAAATGAACGTAGAAGACATAATGAGTAATAAACAACGTAAATGTGCTGCGAATTTTCGGAGGCCGAGAAAATTATTTTAATAGATTTAACAATTAATTATAAAGATGTGTGTGATAGAAAATAAAAGATCTGATACGATAACCTGTAAAAAGAAGGACAAATATTGGAAAGTAATAGAATAAAAGTTTAATAGTACGTCTTCTACTAAATTTCGAAATTCATCAATTGATCCATAGGAGATACTGCTTTATTTCTTAAAAAAGAATTATTTGTATTAATTTTAAATTTTAAATTTATATTTGTAATTGTAAATATTCGTAAAATAATTTCAGAAAAAAATTTATTCATAAATTTGTATTTATTATTTATTATTGTTATCATCTTTATTTTTATTTTTATTTATTATTTTTTATTTATAAATTTATTTTATAATTTTTTCATT